AGGCCTGTATTTTCCCATATTCTCTGGGAATCGACGAAAAATTGTGTCTGTGTTTTTTCTTCCCTCCTGAACGAGGTAGGCCCCCAGCGCACGACGCCCAGTCGGCGGCAGGCGCCGCTCAAGGAAGAGCCTCGGGGCGCTGCTCCGATGGCGAGTGCCTCCCTCGCTTTCGGTGGCAACTCACGGGAACCCCCCATAACCCCCCCTGTGTCGGCTCTGGCGAATCGATGCTGATCGACGCGAGTCGACGCTGACCGACGCGGGCCGACGCCAAATCGGCGCTGTCCCATCGGCTCCCAGACGCTCATCGGCCTTGGTCGACGCTCAAAACGGAATCGAGAGGGTATACCAGGCTCCCATGACTTGCAACCAAATTCGTCAGGTGCCAAAGCTGGCCCGATCAGTGCCGAGGCTACGTTTGCAGCGCCCGAACATATTCAACGCGCAACACCACCAATAGGGACAGCACAGTGAAACACGTCGGAGGTAGGGTGGAAGACCGGAAGAGATTGGGCGCAAACTAGTAGGGGGGCGCCAAATGGGGGCAGGGAGAAAGGTGACCTTTCCGGGCCCCTATGGGCCCCCTCTTGGGCCCTACAGGGCACCTTCTCGGGCCCCAAGCTCCTTTTCGGCAGCCCCCGCTGCCCTCCCATGTACGCCCCCCCACTACGCGCCCTCCGAGCGAAACGTGAAGTGCCCCAATCGGGACATCCTCTCGCTTGGTGCGCGACGTGCGTGCGGGCGAGGCGGGTCTGCGCGCGAGCTTCTGCACTGGGAGGGGCCAAGTCGGGCCCGACCGCATCGCCCTGGGTCGGGATCGAGGCCCGATGCTTGTCCCAACGGATGTCCCGACGGTTTTCTCGATGATGGATGTCCCGTTACTTGAGCCGATGGATGTCCCAAGGGTTGTCCCGACCGTGTTTGCCACGTGGTTGTCCCGATACTTGTCCCGATGGTTGTCCGGATGGTTGTCCCGATGATTGTCCCGTGGTGTCCCGAAGGTCATGCCAGTGGTTGTCCCGATGGTTGTCCCGACCGTGTTTGTCACGTGATTTTCCTGATAGTTTGCCCGATGGGTGTCCCGTTGGTTGTTCGGATGGCTGTCCCGAAGGTTGTCCTGTGGTTGTCCCGATGATCGTGTTGATGGTTGTCCCGATGGTTGTCCCGTGGTTGTCCCGATAGTTGTGCCCCGATGGATGTTCCCTGTTTGGTTGTCCCGAAATCCGACGGTCTCCTCGTGGGGCCACCAGGCTTCGTGGCGGAGGCTTTCCTGCAAACTGCTCCAGTTCCAATTTCCAATGTTCCTTTTCTACTGTCTGCTTTCTACTCTAAATTGTTACTGTCCGCGCGAGGGGGCCGGAAAGGAACTGGATACCGTCCCCGAATCGCGTTGCTTGATGTCGTATGGATCTGGGTCACGTTAGAATGCATAGAATTCGCGCCTCCGAAGCAATATTCCTTAGTGAATTACTCCAGATTCGCGTTCCCGAGGGCAGAATCCCGAGTAACCTAAGCCAAATTCGCGCAACCCAAATCAAGCCACCTCGAAAAGTAGATGAGATTCGCGCTCCCAAAGCCAGAATCCAGAGTAAATTATAACAGACTCGCGCTCCCTACACCATAACCCATTGCCCATTGGAAATCACTCCAGGTTCGCGCTTCTGGACCAGAATCACTGGTAAAATACGCCAGGTTCGCGCTCCCGAAGACCGAATCCTCCACACATTGAATTCGACTCGCGCGCCCGAAGCCAGAATCCTCCGAAACTTTACAGAAGATTCGTGCTCCCGTAGCCAGAATATACTAGTGTATATGCCCGTGGGTCGGAAGAAGTGGTAGGCACATGGAGTAGGAAGGCGGATGCAATAGATTGGGACCAGGCCCTCCCCGAGAATACCGAGCCACAGAAACAGCACATCGATTCTTGAAATGGGAAGGCGCTTGAAGTAGACTTGGATCAGGGAATGCAGAAAAACCTACACGTCGTTCATTCCTAATCGTGCTCACTTCTAATCGTGCTCGCTCCTAACTGTTCCTGGCCCCCTAGTGGCCAGGGAGACGCCCAGCATAGAACAATTGGAAATCAAAGGGTCTTGGCCCCCCAAAACATCAAAGAACCTTCAAATAATTAGAAATGAACAATGTGTGCTTCCAACGACCGATGTGCAACGTCGGATTCACGCTCCCGAAACCAGAGCCCCGGTGAATGACCCCCGGGCTGGCGCTGCCCGAGGCCCGAGCCCCGTTCTCCGAGATCACGCCGGCCCCGTGCCCCCGAGGCCAGAGCCCTCGAGGGGCCCGGGGCCCAGGCACACACACAAACAGATGCCTACAGCTCCCCTGACCCCTCGCATGCTCCAGTGTTGTCCGGATGTGCTCGCCCCCCTCCACTGCCCATGTGTTCCAGACTGCTCTGGGGATCGACGGTGAGCTGTGTGTGTGTGCTTCTGCCCTCTGGAAGCCCACCGCAAGCGACCAGCCGGACGGAAGTAGTGGGTAGGACCATGAAGTCGGAAGGCGCTGGAAGTACACCCTGCGAAATGCTTAAGAAATCATGGGTTAAGAAATTCATAGTCTCAGAACTTGAATAAAAACCCAACATTTCTATTAAAATCTTAGGATTGACATTGAAACGTTAAGAATAATCGAGACTCTGGCCGAAAACTGGGGTTTTCTTAAGCATCGCCTAAGGTGTAGGTTGGGCTTCCGCGCGCTCCCTGGAGAGGAGGGAAACGGGACACCCGCTCGACCCCTGAAGTAGGAAGTCGCCTAAAGCAACTTGGGTTTGGACATCCAGAAGTACCCACTCTCATCGACTGGCGTGCACGCCAGATCTGCGCTCCCGAAGCATATCTGCGCAAGTTACTCCGCATTCGCGCCCCCGATACCAAGATCCCCTATAGCATAATCCAGGTTCGCGCTCCCGAGGCCAGATCACACCGAAGTCGCGCTCCCGGGGGGAGAATCCAATATAATTACAACAAATGCGCGTTCCCGAAACCGGAAACCCTTCGTACATTAAACAAGGCTCGCGCTTCCGAGACCGGAATCCTGTGAATTACAACAGATTCGCGCTCCCGAAGCCAAGATCCTTCGCAAATGACGTGAGGCTCGCGCTCACGAGGCCACGGTCACATGTGAGTTGCTTTAGAAGTCGCGCTCCCGACGCCCAACTCCTTTGTAAAGTAAACCAGATTCGCTCTCCCGAAGCCATGAGCCCGCCCCATGCTGCCCCCAAACCCCCTCCCCCTCTGTACTCAAATGCGTGCTCACAACGAGTTGTTCGCCCCCCCCCCCCACCCCACTCCACACCCCACCCAACACCACACACACAAACGCACACACGTATACGCAGACGCACACACATATATGTGTATATATAGCACAAATACAATCCACGTTTTGGCAATATCAATCTGTAACACATTCGATATAACAATGTATACAAGTATACGAACATAACACAATCTGCATGGCGCCGAAGACGCGATTTGAAGACTCTATTCGCCCAAGGAGCTGCGGTGACGCTTCTATTGCGCTGACGCCTGGTGAAGCTCGTGACGTCTCTATTCGGCCTGAAACCTTTATTCTGCTGACGCCCACTGAAGCTCGTGAAACCACTATTCGGCCTGAAACCTCCATGCGGCCTGAAGCTTGAATTCGGCCAGTGACGCCTCTGCTCGGCCTACGACTTGCGACGCACTGGTAGGGGTGGCAACCCTAGACGCCTCGGCTTCCGCCTCCTTTCCTGCTTGTCGGCTGGCCTCTTGGCGCTGCCCCTCACCATGTCCGGCTCCTCGGCCGCTCGCGAGGTCTTCGTCTCGACCGAAGGCGTCTCCTTCTCGTTGGAGGTCCCCTCCTTCTCGCACGAGCCGCCAAAGCTCACATCTTCTGCCGTCGGCCTCGGTGGCCCCCACGAAGTCTTCTGCTCGGTGATCTCCTCGTACTTGAAATTCCCTGCCGTCGGGCCCAGAGGCCCATGCTGTCGGCGCTTCCCCGACGCCCCGATCATCGGAACGTAGAGCATCATCGCCAGGACGCACCTCGCGCGCTTGTAGCTCATCTTGCACTGGTTCGCGCGCATCGCCAGTGGGTTTGTCGCGTCGTGGTCTCCTCGGCATAGCCCCCCGAAGCGCCGTCCATCTCTCGTCGGCCTCCTCGGCTCTCCTCCAGCCGAGAGCCCCTCCTGTCGATCGGCGTCCACTCGCCGATCGTCCTGCCGCCTCATTTCTTCCAGCTGCGCGTCGAAGCTCCCGCTGGCGAGGTTGGCCCGGCGCCGGCGCCCGCCCGGTCCTTGCTGCCGCCACCGCCGCCTTCGGACAAGGGCCAGCGGCTCGGCGCCGGCGTCTCCGAAGCCGCGGCGGCTGCTCCCGGCATCCAGGGCGCCGCCGCAGAGCTGCCCAGAAATCGCCCTGAATTTCTGGTTTGAGACATATCGTCGACCGCGGTCAAGCACGTTAACGGGGGCCTTCGGGATTTCGGGGACCTTCGACTTTTCTGATAGCAAGTCGGTGAATTTCGGCTCGCTCGTCATAGCACTGTTTCCGGACCCCCTCGACCCACTAGCAAGCCCCTTTCCGTCCTCCTCCGTCGAACCTGTCAGACTCGTCGTAAAATCCCTCGGTCGAGTCAAAGTCGGTCGCGCCGTCGATGTCATCTGGAATCGCGTCGCAGTGCTCGCGGTCCTCGGTCGAGCTGTCGATCGCGTCGGACTCGGTGCGCGCCCAGACTCCAGAGGCCTCTGGCTGGTCATTTCAGGCCCTCTCTTCTCGGCCCCCTTCCCTGCTCTCACGGACGTCGTGGAGTGACGTATCCAGGGACGTAATGGCGGATTTGGTGACTTTCCATCTTCGCAGAGGGAGCGGCGATGCCCCCATCCAGCGTCGGCCGGCTGGCCGGCCACTTCAGCGCCCTGTGTGCTGACCGCCTGGTGCCAGTTCTTGAGCTTCTGCCGACATGCCCGCATCTCCTGCTTCGCCATCTTCTGGCCGCGCGAGGTCCTGGGCTACGTCGACGCAGAGGTGACCTGTCGAGATTCTCCTGAGCATGACCTGCCTGTCCACCGCTAGCTTCGCGAAGCAGGCGATTCCAATGGCAAAATCGAAGATGGCCCCTGAGCGCCGAAGGCAATCCGCAGAGCCCAGCAGCGGCACGTAGCAATTGTTCGTCGTTTTCAAAGCGTACAGGGCGACTGTCCCGAGCTGTCCTTTACCGCGGAGAGGTAGCGTCGCCCTGCTCGAGCAATTCTTTGCAACTCCATTCGCGAATTCAAAACTCGGCCGATCTGTCGCGTCAGCCGTCCGGCCACAGGTGTCCACGCCTGCAACCGTCTGCTTCCCGATGGCCCTCTCCGGCGCCCTGATAGATCCGAACGTCTTGGCCGCGCCGCAGTCCAGCGCCATGCAGCCTGCTGTCTCGTCCTCGAGCCCGGCCAGAGCGCGCTCGACTGCGCCGCCCTGCGTCGCGCGGTACGCTGTCTCGAACGAAGTGAACGCCAGCTCCGTCGCGCCCTCGTCCTGCGGCACCGTCTCGCTGCTCAGCGCGATCTCGTGGTCCGGGCTATCGCCCCGTTTGCCGAAGTTGAACGCCGTGGCGCCGACCTGCCGCGCCGCGTTCTTCACCTCGTCGCGCGAGCAGTGCTCGCGGTTGCGCGGTCCGCCACAGACGAAGCGTGGACCTTGCCCCTTACCTCCTGCTGATCGACCCTTGCTTTTCTGATATAATCCGAGACTCTGCATTATATCCTTGACGACTGCGCGGGCCTGTGCCAGCGTCCTCTTCCGCGTGCATACATTCTTCCTCGTGCCAGCAATCACGGCTACTGCCGCCCCTGCCTCGGCGCGGTCGTTCACGTCCAGGCCCTCGAGGCCCAGCTCGTCGATGTCCTCGTCCGCCTCATCGCTCAGGTAGGCTTCGTTGTCGGCACCCTCTCTGTTCTCATCGCCGTAGCCCTGCGCCCCGTAATCGTCCTCGTCGAACAAACCCAGAGCTCGTCCCTTGCCGGCTTGTGCGGGAACATGTCTCTCTACTTGCTGTGGGCGTCGTACCCCTTGAGGTCGACGTCTGCCCACTGGTCGCGTAGCGCCCCCTCGATGGTCTTCAGGTTCAGCGAGTTCCTGGCGGGCGATAGAGCTCCCGCACGCTCTTGAGCATTCAGTCCAGCCCGTTGCAAGGGCAGCCATCCAACCATAACCCACGGCATGAGGGTCTCCCTCAGCGCGTCTGCAACCTCCTTCGGAGCTTTGATGTCCACGTCGTCCTCGTCCAAGTCGAATCTCGCCACCAGTGAACACAAAGCCTCCGCAGCCATCTCCATCAGCGTCTCCTTCTTGTGCGCCTTCAGCGACGGCGGCGCCGATGATTGAGGCCACTCCAACTGTGAGCCCGACTGTCCACCTGGAGAGCTGCCCCCTCAGCTGCTGCCGCGCCACCAATTTCCTCTCCAATTGTCGTCCTGCCAACTATTTGCGTCGTCGTCGTCGCCCGGAATGCTGATCTCCCCCTTCGCGGACTGCGGATTCTCTTCGGATCTGGACCGCTTCTCCAGCTTCAACTCACAGCTCGGGTCCTTCTCCTCGATTATCTTGAAGCTCTGGTCCAGCTTGTCGGCGACGAACCGGCCCCGCTGGACGCGGGCCTTCACCCCTTCTTTGTTCTTCCGCCACGGCGTGAAGAGGTCGTCTTTGACATGCTTGGACGTCTCCGGGATGGGTTCTCCCATTCTTCTCCGGTTGCTACTGGCCGTCGTCGGACAGCTCATCGAGTGCCTTCCAAGCTTCCCCCGTCAACGCCGATGCCAGCCTCGCGCCAGAGACCGCCTTGTCACGATAAAAGCACAGCCGCGTACCACTTCGCTCGCTCCTCGTTCTGCTGAAAGCGTGCTCCGTCTCCGCCCCGCGTAGGAACTTTGCGTTTGTCATTATTCCCGTTGTCCGTCACGGTGCCAGCTGTCCTGCGTGGAGCCAACTGGTTCCGCTATCAATGCGGGTTCGCCGACTCCCCCGACAATCTCGAAGCTGTCGTAGAAACTCCCGAAGTCGGGATGGGCTCCGCGCGCGAAAAATTCGTGGATGTGACTCCTTTTCCCCCTCCCCACCACCGCGGGTTGCAGGCCGTCCTTGCTCCTGCCCGCGCGTTTGGGGGGCGTCAGCACTAGCGCCAGACGGCCTGCTCGCTCTACGAATGTAATGCTATCGGATTTGCGAATACCAAGGGGTGTGCGAGCTTGCCGGAACTCGCGAGCGAATCAAACTATCGCCCACAGGCGGTTCAAGGGCCCCCTCGAACATAAACGGTTGCGGACGGGCAGGCAATGCGCACTTGAGTTTACAAGGGGGGGCCGAAAGGCAGTGACCTCGGGGCGGGCCTCGAACCTGCAGTGACCTCTCCCGGTTTTTCGGGGGAGGGGGGGGCTCGAGCCGGCAGTGGCCCACTTCGCTTGTCCACGGCGGGGGGGTCTCGAACAGGCAGCGACCGCCCCCGGTTTTCCCCGGGGGGGGGGTCGGGGGGGGGGCCCGGTTTCAGGAGGAAGGGGGGGGGGATTTTCCATAGCAAATCGGCGGTGGAACGCGCTCCCCGATAACGGCCACGAAGAGGAGCTCTCCTTCTCCTCCACCCTCTCCTGATCTTCCCGCCCCCCCTCAGGAATGAGACGACGAGGGGCGCGAGGGGGGCGCGGAGGACGAGGGGGGGGGCGATGGGGGGAAGGACCAGGAGGAAAAGGAAAAGCAGGAGGACGACGAGGAGGAGGAGCAGGAGGAGGAGCAACAGGAGGAGGAGGCGGAGGAGAAGGAGGAGGAGAGGGGGGAGGAGGAAGAGGAAGAGGAAGAGGAGGAGACCACAGAGACAACCTGAAAGGACGACGTCCCAGCTAGAACAAAACAAGTTAGGGGACCTCAGCCTGAGGAAGAGCTCGCGCGCGGGGCGGTCCTCCTGGCCGAAGCCGCCGTCGACGGAGGGGTGGGCGGCGCGCGCGCGAGCTCGCGCGCGGCCGCGCGCAGGGCCGCAGCATCCCCCGTGCCTGACGACGACGTCGACTTCGCTCCGCCCGCGCCGCCCGACGCGCGGCCCCCCTCCACCCCGCGAGCCCCGCTCTCGCTCCTGGCCTCGGCCGCGACCGGTTTAGCTCTGACCTGCTGGATGGCTCGCGGGGGCCATCTGCGAGAGAGGAACAAACCTTTGCGCGGGCGCGCGAGGTTCTGAGCTCCTTTGGGGGTGGGGGCCGAGCGCTCCTAGGCGGGCCACCTGCCATCCAGGGTGGCCCGCCTCTAGAAACACATGCAGCGAGAACCCATGCCCAAAGTGCACAAGATGGGCGCTGTGGGCGCAGGTGGCGCCGATACAGACTTCGCCCAGCCTGCGAAAGAAATGCGACCACTCCGGGGCGATCGAATCATCGACAGCGGCAAGGCCTGGGCACTCTAACGCACAACACCTGTGCAAGTGCGACGTGGAAACAAGCTGGCAGCACGTTTTGCACCTCCACTTCGACCCGAGCTGCTCGCACTCGCGCGACGAAGCCTTGAGCGCTCGGACCTGCATCGAGGGGGGGGCGCTCTCTGCTTAGCCAACCTAGTGGCCTGCCACGGGCCAACCTGGAGCGACGAAAGCAGGGCCGCGCGGGCCCTGCGCCTCGCGAGGTGCGCGACGCAATCATATTTGTCAGTCTGCGACACAGGCTGCGCAACAAATTCAAGCCCAGCTCGATGAGATGCCAGGCCAGCCAATGCATCCGCATACTTATTGCCAGCGACAGGAAAGGTTCCCCAAGCCGACAGCTGTTGGCCCGCGTCCTCGAGATGAGCGGCCGCCCACGCGACCTGCATTTCAGCCGCGCCCCGATTGCGTAGAGCCACCACCACCCGATGCCACAAATTCCGATTCGGCCCTAGCCTGCCGCGGGCACGACCCGCTCCCGATGCATCTAGGACCGGCTGGCAATACGTGGCATAACCAATCGGGCCCGCGGCTTCTTCCAAAGCCATGGCGGGCGCCGCTATCTCCGCGCGCGGCGCCGTTTGCCGCGGCCCAAGGAGGGGGCCAGACACACCGCAGACTTGCTCAAAAGAGCCGCCATCCCCCTGCTTCATAAACGCGACCGCCAAGCCGCGCCTGCGCCGCTTGGGTCACTGCTGACCTGTCCGCCCGACCCGCCCCCAAAGAAGCACGGTGGGTCCTGGCACGGCTGGACGCGCGTGTCGATGAGCCGAGGGGTGCCGCGATACCGGTGCGGAGGAGGGTCGGAGAGGGTCCAGAAACCGAGGACAGGTGGGGTCTCTTGACGGCACTCCTCGTAGCCACAATGATAGGCCCGACCCCCTTCTGTGCCGTAGCCTGGTTAAGAAGGGGCTGCGTGCTGTCAAAGTCGGGATGGCTCGTGTTGCCATCGCACTGCCAGATTCTGTGTAACGGAGTTTTGGGGCCAGCCTTGCACCGAGGGCAAGTGGCGTCAACTCTGTAGCCGCTGTCAACTTGCCTCTGGCGAAGCCACTGACCCCCTGAAGCCGCGCGCAGACCCCCCCCCCGCAAGCCCGCCCCCCCCCCCCCCGCGCCTCGAAACTACGGAGCTCCTGGAGGAGGAGGAGGAGGAGATCAGCTCCTGCATTCACACTGCTGCCACCGTCATGCTGAGCAGCCCCCGGCCAGAGGTTGGCTCGGATGCCGGCCGCGAGCCCAAGCAGGAAGTCAGAATGACCAGAAAGGCCGACCAAGTCAAAACCAGGGTTTCCGAGTCTCCGAAATCTCCAGGCATGGTCCGCGTGCGAGGGTCTCTCCCGCAGCTCAGGCCCCTCGGGGCCCCAGCCAGCTTCCAAAAGGGGCGGCTATCGGGCGGCGAATCCCCCATCAAGCGGCGTTGGCTAGCTTTCTCCAGCCGCGCCCTGACCAGGTCGCGGGAGCGACGAATGCGCGGCTGGAAGGCTGGTGGTCATTTCCAAAGCTGGAGCCGCGCGTCTACGAGCTGGCGCCGAACCTCCAAGGCAGGATCGCCGTCTCCTAGCACCGTCAGCAGACCAATTGTTAAGCACTCGCCTTTCCCAGGAGCCGAGACCGCGCGGGCAGCTTGACGTCGCAAGGGCAGAACCTGACTCGGTGGCATACCAAGACTTGATGGCCGCAGCCGGCCTGTGGCAAAGCTCCAGCGCCACGCGCCCTGGGAAACTTTGCGCAGCCCAGCCAACCGTCGCATCTTAAGAATTATCACGAAACGCGGCTGGCTTCAAGCATCCTTTCTGGCTTCGCGCCGAGAGCAGAATCGACTGGCCGCGGTGTCAGCGCCCAAATCAAAGCCTGGCTGGCATCCCCCGAGCTCGGATTATCTTAGCCGCTCGCTTGCCAAGCTGAGGAAACGCCGACAGCGCGATGGTTGTCCGGAACCGCGAGTCTCTTGGGCTGGAAGCCTTCAGGAAACGCATGAACCAATTCAGTCATCTCCGAAATCGCAGCCTCCTGAATGCCCTTGGACCTGCCGAAAGAATCGTCGACGAAGGTCCACGGGGAGGCCCAAGGGGCCAGTCTCATGAGCTGCTTCCATTAGCGAATGCAAGATCACTTTTGCCGAGCACACGCCACGCGACGAGCCGGCTGCAGTGGGGGGCCCACGGCAGACGGGGTCGCTGATGATCGACCCCTCCTTGAGAATGCGCGGCGCCATGAAGAGCAATGCATCCATGATCACCGCGGCTGGAAATTGAGCGACCTGGCCGCCGCGACGAGGAGCACGCAGGAGATCGAGTTGTAGAACTTGGCCAGGTCTAGCAGCACCGTGACTGCAGAGAGACCCGTAGTGACAGTGGCTTCGCCCATCGAGCTCCTTGCCATGGCTGCTCTGAGGGCGCTGCTGCCGCGGATGGCCGCGCCCCAGAACGCGCTCAACGTCTCGCCGCTCTGGCGCGACAGAGCTCCTGGCCTGGCCCCGCGATTTGCAAATCTGGGGCGGCATTCCCAGCGCTCTAATTCCACCTGGCGCCGTGGGGGTGACCGCGCAAACCGTGGCAAGGAGCGCCGTGGGCCACGTAAGCTTCCGCTCCATGCCGTTCAGGAGGTGGGCGAACTCCGTCATGCCCGAGCCTGGCATTCCCCGCGGGTCAATAGGGCCCAGGCCGTCAACCGGTCTCACGCTGGCCTTCATTGAGAGGCGGAAGTGGCTCCTCTCGTGCGTCGAGAGCCAAACCTTCAAGCGCCCAGGGTATATCAGTGTGCTGCCATGCCTCCTTCTTGGTGCGAATCAGGATGCTCGGTTCGGCGGTGTACTGACCGTCTCCCAGCACCACTCGGGGCAGCGGGTCAGGCGGGGGATCGCGCGCATGACGGTGCACTGCCCCTGGGCCCTTGGGCCGCATCCCCTTGGCCCAACCCATGGACCGGCACGCGGGCCTGCGCGCGATCGGGCCGCGCTGCAGTCTCCTCCGCGAAGGCGGTCAGTTGATCTAAGCCCAACGCGTTCGCTTCCCTGGCCTGACCAAGCCGCGCCTCAAACGCGTCTGCCAGTGCCCTTTTTGCCAACGAGCCCCCGGCGCTAGTCAGCAGGCAACTGGCTGCGCATGGCCACGAAGCCTGCGAAGCACTTGGCCGCATCCGTAGGATCTCGTCCTGAGCGCGCTAGGGCCAGCACGCGAGTAAGCAGCGTCGAAGCAATGCCCCACCACTCCGAGGTCTGGTCCAGAATATGCGGCCTCCCTGGCGAAGGTCGTTTTTTTTGCCAAGCTAGGGAGTACCCATTGCCTCGGCCCTCGCACTTGCTGGTGCCCAGTTCCTCGCTGGTGAATGGGGTCGCGTTCTCAAGTGTGGAAACCCATGAGCCATGATGTTGATCCAGCTAGGCTCTCTGAGCGGACCTCCACGCTGGTGACGCGCTGCCCACCAGCTTGGCCTCGGCCGTGCGTGGGGCGAACTCCAAGGCCGACGCCGCCATTTTGGCTTTGCTCCAGTACTCCTCGCCGGGCTGAAGCAGCACAGGCACTGCCTGCAGCTCAGGAGCTCGGGAGGGAAGGTCGTCAAAGGCATCCCTCAGATCCTCAGGTAGCGCCTGCCGCCTCGCATCTGGCACCTCCTGTTGACGCTGAGAGCGCTTGCTTTCAGGATCTGGGGCATGGATTGGCCGGGAAGCTCGAGGTAGCGGCGCAGGCAGGATCAGTGCCCTATGCCACCAGGCCTTCTTCGAATCGAGGATATCCACAGCAACAGAAAATTGAGTCTTCCAGGGTACCGCAAGAACTCGACGTAACTGCAGCTTGTCCTTGCCGAGGCGCCTGAGGGCAATGGCATAGTCGTACTTGCCCTGCCCGCTGTCGCAGGTGAACTTGCAATCTGGCACAAGAATAGTGCCACGTAGGCGCTCCGTCCAACCACTCTGATGCATCTCTTGGAGCTCGTGGTTCCAAGCAACAAGGATGACCCACGAGTCTGCCAAGGCCTTCGTGAATGCGCCGAAGGCGACAATATCTTCATTGTGGTAGTCGTTCATGCCAGTGGGCGGCAGGAAGTAAGCTGTTATGAACACTAGATTCCCAAACTTCAAATGCAAAGCCGTGGCTGGGAAGCCTCTGAACGGGTCCATTTTGTCTTCGTTGATGGCGAGGTCGCGCATCCTGTCGAACTGTGTAGCCACAAGATGTGTCCGAGTAAGGAGCCATTTGCCAGCGGAAATGCCATCCTGTGATTTGCCCGAAGCAAGGCCAGCTTTGAACGACAACCTCCAACCATCCTTCCTCATCTCCTCGGTCCAGCGAGAGCACTTGGTGACAGGCTGGTGCGTCTCGACCAGGCCGACAAGAAGGTACGCTTGCTAGTGCTGGTTCACGAAGTTGGGAATTTTGACACCTCACTCCGTGACATTCGCGAACAGCACGGTGACATGGTCCTTGTTCGTCAGGTGTCGAAGAGCAGGAGGATCGCTGTCGAGGCCCTCGCCTTCCTCAGGCAAGGCGTGAGTAGTGTTGACTTTCCTTCCGTCCGAGTTACCAGGGGCCGCGGCCAGCACCCCCAGGACGGTGACCTGACCCAACACGATCCGAAGAACCCGCGCGATTTCCGGAGAAACCCCAACAAGGTCCAAGATCGCCCCGAAACGGCCCGGCCCCAGAAGGCTCAAAAACTGCCCACGATGCCCTGCCCCTGGAAGCCAAAATGTTTGATCCCCCAAGAGCTTTCCAAGGATTTTTGGATAATCTCCATTTCTGGCGTTCGATGCTCCAACACTGCACACGAGGCCCCCTGGACCGCCCCGAAAGGCCCCAAAGAGGTCCCCCAAACAATCCAAGAGAGCCCCAAGCACCACGACGGCCAAAGAGGCCCACAAGGCGGCCTCCAGAGGAGCCCCTGAGGGGAAACACGAACCGACACTTCGAGCCCTCCGCCCCACGACGACCTGCCAGACCGCCGACAGGCCCTCAAGAAGCTCCGCAGAAGCTCTAGGATACCGACGGCAGGGCCAAATCACGAACCAAGAGGCCCACACGAGGCCCCCGAAAGGCGCTCAAGACACCACGTACATACATACCAACCTGCCTGCCGAGCGACCCACCTACATACACATACATAAACACAAACATACGTACACACATACACACAGACAGACAGCCACACATACATACATACATGCATGCATGCATACATACATTACATACATAGCATACATTACATGCGTACATGCATATATCTACACATACGTACATACACACATATACACATATACACACCTATCAACAGACATACATACGTACACACATACCTAAACACATACGTACATGCAAACACACATACAAACATATACATATGTGTGTATATGTATACATAGATTTATACATCCACCTGCACTTATAAATGCACAGTACACATCCTCATCCAAAACCCGTTTCGCGCATTGACTGGACAGGCTGTACACATCTAATTAAGAACAAGTGCGCAACAAACTCTAAAAAGTAATGTGCATGAACCGATAAACATGAACAGTGGGCAATGATCATAACATCTGTGAATGTAGACAGGCATTCACATATTGTGTACATGTTAATGTGCATAGCAGTCCGCAGACCCTTCGGCGTTTGGACGACGTCGTCGTCGAACAAAGACGTCGTAGGTCAGTCGAAAGGTATCCCCTTCCCTTTATCCCTTCCCTGCCGGGATGGGGGTGTGAGTGGTGAGTCCCGGGTCAGAATGCCGCCCCCCAGGGGTTTCGGCGGGCCCCAGAAGGGGTCGCAAGCGGTGGTCCCAGGGAAGGTCCCGCCTTCAAGCTCGGCGGCACCGGCCGCAAGGCCTCCGCAATCGACATGCCAGCCAGTTGTATCAATATTTATGTCCCGATGTGTGCCCACTCGTGAGTTGACATGTTCGCGCATCGCAAATCACACGTGAACTCGCCCTCCCATCTCCAGAACGCTCGAAGATGGTCTATGCTGCGCGTGTGTGTGACATCGCGTGGGGGAGAGAGAGACAGAGAAAGAGAGAGAGAGAGAGAAAGACAGCGACAGAGAGAGAGCGAGAGAGAGAGAGAGAGACAGACGGGTGCTCACGATTGCGCTCCCGCTCTCCCTCGCGTCCGTCGTCGTCCTCGTCCCCCTCTGGCCTCCGACGCCCCCACCGCCCCAAGCGGCACTGGTGCCCACGGCCGGAAAAAGGACCAGGCGTCTGCCCTGGGGGCGCTCTGATCTGAGCGCGCAGCGCGCGGAGACGACCAAAGGGCGTGAAGATGTCGCGCCGCCCTCCCCGCTTGCTCTCCCTGCTGGCCCAAGCCAGGCACCATCCCCCTCTTCAGAAGGGCCGTCCTAGCTGCGGCGTCTTGCGGCAAGGCGAAGCGAAAGGCGCCTCACGGCGCGCGACACCTGGAGCACTGACGAGAGCTCCAGTCGAGGCAGCTTTACAGAAATGCCACCCAGCTGTGCCTGTGGCAAGGATTTCCTAATCCTGGGAACAAAAAAGCAACAGCAGCAGCAAATGGCAACAGTTGGACGCGAAGCAAGAGGGACCTGAGGAAACAGAAAAACGATATCTGTTCGTTCAGAGTCGTCTTCCGACAACCCCGGGGTCCGTGAAGAGCCCCGCGAGCCCGACCACTGTGAGCGACGTTCTCCTCAGGCACTAGGCACCCACCTGCTCGATGGCGAGAACAGAGGGCTGCATAAGCAAACGAAGCGCAAGGCCCATAAGCTAGTGGCCTCCCAAATGGGGTCGGTAGATGGGGCTAGAGCATCGCGCCGCATCGTCGATGCATCACCGATGCATCGGCGATGCACTGGCGACGTCGGCGATGCATCGGCGACGTCGGCGTGGAGAAAATCTGCCTCCACGTCGAGCCGCATCGCCGATGCATCAGCGATGCGACGCGATCCTCCGACCCCACCTACTCGGACCCCATCTGGAAGGCCTAGAGAAGGATCGAGGAGACGTAAGACTCGGGTTGAGGGGACTCGGGTTGGCCCGACGGGGCCATCATGAAAACGACGCGGCCCAGTCTGAAAGTTGACGCGGACTCCCGCTGCAGACATCCCACGACAACTGGACCGTCAAAGCTCAGGATGGGCTCGTCAAAAAGCGTGGGCGCACCCGAGTTCCGGCGTACTCGAGTCTTGCGTTTCCCCGAAGCAAGGAGGGCCCATGACCACCAGGCCGACACCCGCGCCGCCCTGTCTCCGGCTACACGCAAGAACGACCCTGGGCATAAGAGTGACCTTTGGTACGCGGCTCGCGGGGAGCCGCGGAGGGACCCACCAGAAACGCGAAAGACGCTCCCGTCGCATCGCGTAAAAGGAGGAGGAGGCGGAGGAGGAGGAGGAGGAGAGGAGCAAGAGGAAAACTAGAAGAGGAAGCGAAGAAGAGGAACAAAAAGATGAGCAAAACAATAAGCGGAAAATGAGGAAGAGGGAAACGAGGAAGAGAAACATGAGGAGCAATAGAAAGAAGAGGAAGAGGTGGACCCCCATAGGCCCGCTCCAAAGACCACTCCCGCGAAAGGTCACTCTTACCCAGACCCCCGACGCCATGACTTTTGCCGCCGCGTCGACCCCCAGAGGCCTGGGACCCCTTCCCTGGGACCGGCTCTTCCTCCTGAAGCTTTTCTGGCAGCTCCGAAGCCCCGCAAGGGCCCCATGGAGGCCGCAGGTCACGACAAAGCCTCCCGCCGCCTCCCTGTTTCGCAGCGCGAGGGGGTCTGGGCGCGCCTCGTCGGTGCCTGGCGGCGGCGGCGGCGGGAACCTACGCGCCGCGCGCGCCGCTCGGCGGCCCCGGGGGCTCGAACGCCTGGCCGCCCGGCGCGCCCGCGGGCGCGGCGCCCCACACGGGCCGCGGCAGCCTGGGGCGCGGGTTCGCCGGCGGGGCGGGTGCTCGGGGGGCGCTGCAGGAGCCCCCGGCCCAGAGGTGCCCCAAGCGCAGCTCTTCGCCTGCGCCCCCCCCCCCGTCCCCCGGGGGGGGGCCCTCGGGGCCCAGTGGGGGGGGCGCTCTGTTCGGCGGCGAGAACGGGGGGGGGGGGGGAGTGAGAAGGGGCGGGCCTTCTCAGAAGCCTCGGCAGCCCGCCGGCCTTCTGGGCAGTTTTCTGAAGGCTCTCCGAAGACGCAAAACACTTCTCAGAAGGCGCGAGGGCTTCTGAGAAGCCCCGCCGCCTTCTGAGCAGGCCTCTTCCTTCTCACTTGCCCCCCTCGCTCGCCGCCGATCTATACTTGCTCCCTCCAAGTAACTCGGAGGCCGTGGGGCCCCCTGGGCCAGAGGCACCTCCGGCAACACCCGAGGGTGCGGAGCGACCAAGGGGGTCTGGCGCCTCGGCATGGACCGGGCAGATCGCCGGCGCGCGGGGCGGAGTCTCGAGCAGGACCCCCGCAGAGGATCTCAGCACAGGCTCCATGGGAGAGCCGCCGGGCGGGGGCCTCGCCCAGCTGACATGGTCCCCGCACGGGATGGAGCCTTGTGGGCTACACGCAAGAGTGACCCTCGGCAGGAGTGACCTTTGGTGCGCGGCTGCGGGGAGCGCGAGGAGGCCACATGAAAGCGAGTAAGCCGCTCCAGGCCGGTGCTGGGGTGCACTCCTATGGGCCCGCACCAAAGGTCACTCCGACGAAGGGTCACCCTTACGTGTGGTCGACCTTGTGCGGCATCTCGAGCCTCCGACGGTTTCTCGGCCGCGCCCGGCGCGATGGCCAGCTGGAGACACCGCAGGGCTTCCAGCAGCACCGCCGGCCGGCGCCCGGCGGCGTGCGCGCACACGGCGTGGCAGAGCGCGACCTGCGCCGCGGGGGCCAGCAGCCAGCAGAGCGCCAGCTGCGCAAAGAAGGCCACGATCCAGTGGTCGACGTCGACCATGCAGACGTTCGCGAGAAACGCAAGGACCACCAGCACCGAGCCGATGAGCAGCGCGACGTTGGCGACGACACCCCCTGCCCTCACGATGGCGGCGGTCACCACTGGGACAACGAGCCCGCTCAGCGCGGCGATGCCGCAGTCGCCGAGCACGGTCTGGAGGTCGAGCTCCTGCCACAGGCCCGCGTCGGGCAGCATACAGGGCGCGATCACCGGGCCCTCGGCCCACGCAAGCAACAGCAAGGCGCAGCACGCCAGGGACGCGAACAGCCCAGCCGTGCTCACCACCGCACGCCGCAGCCAAGGCCCCCCGTGTCCAAGGTGGTGCACCCATAGCCCGAGGACCGGGTGCAACGAGTAGAAGAGGTCCCACTGCCGCACCTAAGGAGATGCCGTGCCCCTCAGGGCTTATGTGTTCATATCTCCAGGTTTTGTCCCACACGCGTTTGAAGCACATTCCGTGTACATTAAATATTTGTGCATATACAAGCGGATACGCCATGCACGATAACGCCTCTCCTTCTACATGCTTGCATACATACAGTGCGTTAGCCAGCGTGGACACTAAACCGTGTTCTAGCAATGCGAACGGCGATATGTACATCTCTATATATATATATATATATACTAGAACCATCGCGCGCGCTTCGCGCGCGCTCAGGTTCTAGCCCAGGCCGGGGGCGCGCTAGAAGATCTTGGACAGCGCTATCAAGCACAGGCGCGTGACATAGTCGTGCCTCCTCTTCTTGGGAACCTCTTGGGTCTTCGTGGGGGCATCTAAAGGGCTTCTGGGGGGTTCTCCGCGCTTCCTCAATTGGCTGTTGGAGGCACCTCTTGGGTGCTTCTCGGGGGGGCATCTTGGGGCTTCTTGGGGTCCCTTGGGGGCATCGTCAGGGTTCTCCGGGCACTCGGAAAGTGATGTTGTGCAGTCTGAAGCAATCAATTGGCCGACTTGGCTGCGTGTAGGCCCGGCTTGAGGCCACATTGGGGCAATCCGGAAGCCTCCCGGGGCCTCCTTGAAGCAATTTTGATGCAATGAGATCACTGTTGGGCTATCTTGGGGCCTTTTGGGGCCTGGTGGGGGGTTTTGGGGGGCCTCGTCGGACCACTTGGGGACTGTTGGGGCCTCCTGTGGGCCTCTTAGGGCGGAAAGCTCTGCTGTTGGGTTCGCGTTCCCCTTCTTGGGGCTCTCTTGTGGCCTTCTTGGGGCACTGTCGGGCCGTCTTGGGCGCCTCGGGCACCGTCTTGGGGCCCTAGTGGGCCGTCTTGGGGCCCTCTTGGAGGCCTCTTCGGCTATCTTGGAGCGGCCGTGGGGGCCACTTGGGCCGTCTTGGAGCGTCGGGATGCCAAAAGGCTGGGAACTCTAAAATCCATCAAAGGCCGATGGGAAAACAATGCTTCTTGGAACCTCTTCGGGCTTCTGGGGAGCTGCTTGAAGGCGTCTTGGGTCCCACTTGGGGGCCTCTGGGGCTTCCTGAGAGCCTCTCGGGGTGAAGGCTCGGATTTTCGGTACGTCTTACCCCTCTTGGGCCCCCCTTGGGGCCGTATTGGTGCCCTTTCGGGCTGTCTTGGGCCCTGTTGGAGGCCCCTTGGGCTATCTTGGATTGGTCTTGGAGGCCTTTTGTGCCGTCTTGGAGCGTCAGGACGCCCAAAGGCTGAAAACTCGAACATCAATCAAAAACCTATGGCAAGACATGGATTTTTGCCTCTTGGGGCCTTCGTGGGAGGCCTCTTGGATACTCTTCGGCCCCCTGGGGGGCTTCTTGGGGCCTCTTGGAGCCTGTTAGGGACTTCTCGGGGCCTCCTGAGAGCCTCTCGGGGTGGAAGACTCGGACTTCGGTTCGTGTCAACCCTCTTGGCTCCATCTTGGGGCCGTCTTGGGGCCCTCTCGGGCCGCCTTGCGCGCCTCTGGCGCCGTCTTGGGACCCCCGTGGGCTGTCTTGTGACCGTCTGCGAGTCCTCTAGGGATGCCTTGGAGCGGAAATCAAAGCCTCTTGGGCCGTCGTGGAGAGTCAGGAAACTCAAAAGGCGAGAACTCGAAAATTTATCAAAACCAAAGGAAAACAAATTAGCTGTGCCTCCTGGGGCTCCTTGGGAGCCATCTTGGAGACCTCTTGGGGCGTCTTGGAGGCCTCTTGGACAGTCAGGGACCGAATCTGGGCTGATCTCGGGCGGTCATTGGTCGTTTCCGTTGTCTGGAAACGTCAGGGCCGTCTTCGGGCGACTTTACAATGCCCCCAACGCCACGGCAGGGCCCCTGGGCCCCCCGGTGCGAGGGCTCCGTCCCGGGCCCCGCCTCGTTCGTGCCCGCGGCAGGGCGTCCCTGGGCCGTCTCGGCGCCCTCGTGGGGGCCTGTTGGGGCGACATTGGGTGTCTGAAATCCATCAAAAACCTAAGGACAATCAATGATTTTGGCGTCCCTTTGGGCCGTGTTGGAAGCCTTGTGGGCTGTCCGGAGGCCATCTTGGGCGTGTTCGAACGATATGTCCTCGTTTCGGGGCCTCTTGGGGGCCTCTTGCGGCCCTTTTCGTCTGTGTTGGGGCTTTCTTGGGCCGTCTGGGGGCGGCCCTGGGCTGTCTCGGCGCCCTCTTGTAAGCCTGTTTGGAAGATTTCTGGGTATTCTGGACCATCCTCCTTCAAAGTCGGCGGCAGTGGCCGTAAGACTTCCTGGGAACATGATTTGTTGGGGTGTCGTTGGGGGCATCCGGAAGCTTCGGGGCCTGACGCGTTTCCGAGCGCGGCGGCAGGTAGCGCTGCTTGGGACTCTCGTGTTTTATCCTGGAAGGCGTTTATAAATATGGTGTGGGGAGAGGGCGGCAACCCGAGAATCATGTTCCCGGGAAGCTTTCCGGGTGCATGATTTGTTCGGCTCTCTTAAGAGGGTGGGCTCTGGGGGCTTACCAAGGGGCTCTTTTTGGCCTTGTCGGCAAGCCCATTTGAAACATAGTTGGGGCGATGGGCGGAAGCCCCATGTTCCCGGAAAGCTCTGGGAAATACGATTTACCGAGGTCTCTTGGGGCCCGCAAGGGGCTTCCCTGGGGGGCCCTTGGGGGCTTATTGGGGCTTCCGGGGGGCCTCTTGGGAGCCTCACGGGGCTTCTTGGGAGCCTCTTGATGGCCTTCGGGGGCGTCCTAGGAGCCTCTCAGGCCGGAGACCTTGAAATGTTGCGCTCTTCGGGCCCTCTTGGGTCGCTCTTGGGGCTTTCTTGGGGCGCTCTCGAGGCCCTCTTGACTTATCTGGGGAGCCTCCCGAGCCCTCTGGTCTTTCCTTGGGAGCCTCTTCGGCCGTCTTGGAGCGATCTGACGGGCCTCTGACGCCGTCTGGGACCGTGGGGAGGCGGAACATGCGAGAGCGCAAACATGCGGGGCCCTTTTGAGGGGCCTCTGGAGGCGCTCTTGGGGCGTTTTGGCGGCGTCGTCGGCCGTCCTGAGGCCATCTTCGGCGTGTCCGGGGCCTCTAGGGGCTGTCTTGGCAATCTTTAGGGCCCTCTTGGCGTGTCGTGGCGTGTTTGGGAGCGGGCCCGGGCAGTCCCGGGAGCCCTGGGGGCTGTTGAATGCTAAGTGTTTTCTTGGAGGCGGAGGCTGTTGAGTGCAGGGTGGCGCGTGCTACGCGGAAGGCGGGCGAGCGGCCGGGCGGACGGCGGGCGGGCGGGTGGCGGGCGGGCGGGCGGGCGGGTCGGGATTTGAATGAATTCCTTAAGGGTGTTCTCTTGCAGCGGGAGCTTGTTGAGTACAGGATGTTGCCTTGAAGACGGGGGCTGTTGACTACAGGGTGTTGTCTTGGAAACTGAAGCTGTGTACAGACTGGTGCGTGCTACGCGGACGGCGGGCGGGCGGCGGGTGCCCTAGGTGGTGGGTCAGAGGCCTCATGGGTGTTGGTTTGGATCTCGTGGTTGGCCTGTCGGGGACGTCGTGAAGGCAGTTTCGCAGCTTCTCGGTAGCCATTTTGAGACCGTTGTGGGACCTCCTCGGGGCTGTTTTGTGGCCTCTTGAGGCCTTGTTTGGGTCTCCTGGGTGTCTCTCGGGGGCCTCCTGGGGCCTCTGGGGGGCTCCTTGGGGCCTCCTGGGGCACTCTTCAAGCGGGAGGGTCGAATTTTGGAGTCGTGGTCCCCCTCCTGGGCGCATCTTGGGGCCGTCTTGGGGCTCTCTTGGGCGCTTCTGGGGCCGTCTGGGGGCCCTCTTGGGCCGTCTTGGGGCGCTGTTGGGGGCCTATGGAGCTGGCCTGGAACGTCGGACAGCCGAAAAGGCTGGAAGGCCAAAATCTCTCCCAAACCTTCGTAACAGTGACGATCTTGGTTTCTTGAAGCGCTCGGGAGAGGCGTCTTGAAGCGTCGTGGAGTGCCTTGGGGGGACTTCTCGGGCCGTCTTGGGCCTATCTTGGGCGTCCAGGAGCGGTCTTTCGGCGACTCGGGGGCCCGCTTGGGCCGTCTGCCCATGAATAGCTGAAGAGATGGCCGCCGAGAACCCCCCGAGAGGCAGAACACCTGCTTCCCGAAAAACGCGGAGAGGCTTCCCAAAGGACCCCACGAACCCTTACAGAGGTCTCTTGTCCATGACTCATGCACGTTGGCAGCATGCCCCCTACAGATGTGTACATCTGCAGATCCACAAACTCACACAATTATGTATATATATGTGTGTATATATACATATATATATATATATATATATATATATATAACGCTGCATTGGCGCTGCGCGCCATGCACCTTGGTCCTTTGAGTTCTGCACGCAAGCGGAATGCGTGCGTGCGAACATGCGCGCATGCATGTATACACGCGCGCGTGCATGCACGTTCCGTATAAATGTTTAAGTGTTTACCATATATTTACATGGTTGTATGACTATACAGCGTACGTATGTACATATAAGTTTATGTGTGTAAGGGTATGAACATGCATATGCAACTCGTACGGGGCATCCTCGGGCATCCTCGCTACATGCCACGAGACCCTCAACGACTGGGTCACAATATGAAATGTCATGGGGGCAAGATCAATGAATGTTGGCATTCGGAAACATCGTGGGGGTGTTTTCGGGGCCCTCGTGGGCCGTTTTGGCGCCTTCATGGGCCGTCCTAGGGCCTTCTTGGGCCGTTTTGGGGAGCTTGGGCCCGCTGGAGCCCCCTTTGGACCCATCTTGAGCACTTCCGAGGACCTCCCACGGCCCTTTTGGGTGTGTGCTGGGAGCCCTTGGGGGACCTCTTGGTTCCATTATGGGCTGTCTTGGGGCTCTTGTGGGCGATCGTGGGGCCCGGCTCGGCCGCCTTGAAGCTTTCTAGAGGGCTTTTTGGAGCGTCTTGAGGCGATCTCGGGGACTTTGAAACCGTCTTGAAAGCTGATGAAATCCGAAAGGCGAATGTGCTAAAATTGTAAGTTTTACGAAGGGAATGGGACGATTTTTGTGGTTTGAAGGCCCCCTGGAAAGCTTTTTGGGGTGCCTTGGGGGTCTTTGTGTTGGCATTCGGAAACATCGTGGGGGTGTTTTCGGGGCCCTCGTGGGCCGTTTTGGCGCCTTCATGGGCCGTCCTGGGGCCTTCTTGGGCCGTATTGGGGAGCTTGGGCCCGCTGGAGCCGCCTTTGGACCCATCTTGGGCACTTCCGAGGACCTCCCATGGCCCTTTTGGGTCTGTGCTGGGAGCCCTTGGGGGACCTCTTGGTTCCATTATGGGCTGTCTTGGGGCTCTCGTGGGCGATCGTGGGGCCCGGCTCGGCCGTCTTGAAGCTTTCTAGGAGGCCTTTTGGGGCGTCTGGAGGCGATCTCGGGGGCTTTGAAACCGTCCTGAAAGCTGATGAAATCCGAAAGGCGATGATGCGAAGAGTTCAAATGTTTTACGAAGGGAATGGGACAACTTGTTTTTTGTGTTTTGAAGGCCCCTTGGAAAGCTTTTTGGGGTGCCTTGGGGGTCTTTATGTTGGCATTCGGAAACATCGTGGGGGTGTTTTCGGGGCCCTCGTGGGCCGTTTTGGCGCCTTCATGGGCCGTCCTGGGGCCTTCTTGGGCCGTCTTGGGGAGCTTGGGCCCGCTGGAGCCCCCTTTGGACCCATCTTGGGCACTTCCGGGGACCTCCCATGGCCCTTTTGGGTCTGTGCTGGGAGCCCTTGGGGGGCCTCTTGGTTCCATTATGGGCTGTCTTGGGGCTCTCGTGGGCGATCGTGGGGCCCGGCTCGGCCGTCTTGAAGCTTTCTTGGGGGTCTTTTGGGGCGTCTGGAGGCGATCTCGGGGGCTTTGAAACCGTCTTGAAAGCTGATGAAATCCGAAAGACGAAGATGCTAAGAGCTCAAATGTTTTACGAAGGGAATGGGACGATTTCTTGTGTTTTGAAGTCCCCTTGGAAAGCTTTTTGAGGTGCCTTGGGGGTCTTTTGGGCCGTCCTGACGCAATTGGAGTCCCTCTTGGAACGCTCTTGTGCTGCCTGGGGCCTCCCTTGAGCCTTTCTGATGACCCCTCGGATCGCTCTGGGTCTGCTGGCAAGGCGTTTGTGGAGACCCGGAAAGCCGGGTGACCTTTTCCAAGGACGTCCAAAGGAGCCCGAAAACCCCAGATCCCGGGGGTCCAGTTTTTGTTGGGGGGGGATGGTTTCCCCCCCCCCCGGACGTGTAAAAATATAGGAAGAGGAATATGTGTGTACGCCTCTATCTGTGTATGTACTATAATTTATCTGCACACTTATGATTGATATGGCTGTTCATGTATCGCGGTGTACACACATATAGTTTACAACATACACGCATGCATACATGTACATATGTATACGCGTCACGTGCATACATGTGTGCATCCGTACATCGAATGGACCCATCATGGACTTAAGGCGCTTCTGGGACAAGGCCTCGATATGAGAAAACAGCCCCAACAGGTACGACACCCCCTTGCCTCCAGGCCGAGGCCCATGGCGAGGCGCTCCCTGCGCTCGAGCGCCCGCAGGGCGCGACGCAGCCTCTTGCAAATCCGCCCCGCGCCGCTCTTGGGGTCGGCCTCGACGGCTCGCTGGCCAAGGCGCCGCAGGTCCACACCGGTGACGCCCGCGTCCGCCAGGAGGAGGAGGCTCAGGCACTTCAGGGTGGCCACCAGGCCGAGGCTCTCGGCGAGCGGCCTGCCCGCGAGCTCCTCGCGGCCGACCTCGACGCCGGACAGGCAGCAGGCCACGCGGATCGCCGCGGCGGAGAGGCGGGTGTGGCCGGGGAGGGTGCCGGCGGCGTGGGCGTCCCAGGCGGAGAGGCACGTATGCCGCACCTCGGGGGTGCCGTCGCTGTAGGGGCACTCTGCGCGCAGGATCGACTGCCAGAGCCCAGCGAAGGTCGCCATCACGGCGACGGTCACCGACAGCAGCGTCAGGAGCAGCACGCCGCGCTGCTGCCACCAGGGGCCCAGGTGCACGGTGGTGGAGGTGGTGGAGCTCTCGCTTGTTGTGCTTCTGGTGGTTGCAGACGCCGTCGTGCTGGAAGAGGACGCCGTCGTAGTAGAACTCACGCTGCGTGTGCTCGAAGAAGTGAGACTCGAAATGGTAGAAGACACCGTCTTGCTTGAACTCTCGCTGGTTGTACTCGACGTGATTGTACTCGACGTGGTCGAGGACCTGGTGGTGCTGGAACTCTGGCTGCCTGTTGTCAATGTGGCTGAAGACACAGTTGTGCTGGTACTCTCGCTGACTGTGCTCGAAGATGTTGGACTCGACGTGGTGAAAGACACCGTCTTGCTTGAACTCTCGCTGGTTGCACTCGACGTGATTGTACTCGACGTGGTCGAGGACCTGGTGGTGCTGGAACTCTGGCTGCCTGTTGTCAATGTGGCTGAAGACACAGTTGTGCTGGAACTCTCGCTGACTGTGCTCGAAGAGGTTGGACTCGACGTGGTGAAAGACACCGTTGTGCTGGAACTCTGGCTGCCTGTGGTCGATGTGGTTGAAGACGCCGTCGTGCTCGTACTCTCGCTGACTGTGCTCACCACGGTTAAAGTCCCTGTGGTTGAACTCCGAGAGGTTGTGGACTGGGTCGTTATGGAACTCTCGGAAGCTGTACTCACCGTTGCCGAGGTCCCAGTGACTAAAGACACCGTTGTGCTGGAACTCTCTGAGTCTGTACTCACTGTAGTCACGGTCTCTGTGGTTGAACTCACAGAGGTCGTGGACTGGGTCGTCCTGGAACTCGCGGAGGTTGTACTCACCGTGGCCGAGGTCCCAGTGGTTAAAGACACCGTTGTGCTGGAACTGTGTGAGTCTGTACTCACTGTAGTCACGGTCTCTGTGGTTGAACTCACAGAGGTCGTGGACTGGGTCGTCCTGGAACTCGCGGAGGTTGTACTCACCGTGGCCGAGGTCCCAGTGGTTAAAGACACCGTTGTGCTGGAACTCTGTGAGTCTGTACTCACTGTAGTCACGGTCTCTGTGGTTGAACTTCCAGAGGTTGTGGACTGGGTCGTCCTGGAACTCGCGGAGGTTGTACTCACCGTGGCCGAGGTCCCAGTGGTTGAAGACACCGTTGTGCTGGAACTCTCCGAGGTTGTACTCACTGTGGTTACGGTCCCCGTGGTTGAACTCACAGAGGTTGTGGACTGGGTCGTCCTGGAACTCGCGGAGGCTGTACTCACCGTGGCCGAGGTCCCAGTGGTTGAAGACACCGTTGTGCTGGAACTCTCCGAGGTTGTACTCACTGTGGTCGTAGACCACGTCGTGCTGGAACTCTCGCTGGTTTGGGTTGATGTCCCTGTGGTGGAGGACTGGGTCGTGCTGGAAGTCTCACTGGTCGTCGTGAAACACTCAGGGCAACCAAACATGCAGTACGGGTTCGCGGTGCACTCAATACTCCAATCGGTAGACAGAGACGGCCACAATCCTGTGCCGCAATTTGCATGGCATGTTCCACCTTGAGAGCTACAAGGGCGGATTATAAACACAACCAGCACCGTGACGCCTCCGGAAGAGATCATATCTGGCAGTGCAACGCACACGCGTCACCATGCAATATGCATCATGCCACGTTTCATTCAGCAGCACACTTCCCGTTGCCCCTTGAACGACCACAGCACGCAACTTGATCCAAACTAACCACGGATGGTATTGATGAGGACCGCTAGCTCGTCCGTCACTGCAGCGATGAGAGCAGTGTAGCATATTGGACATGAGACCCCTCTGAAGAACCTTGGAGGGGGTAGCCATTCTGGTGCAGTGGAATCGTGGCGCCGAAACCAGCCTTCGCGGAACAAACTTCGGACCGCTCCCTGCCTCAGGCCCCACCTTTGGCCGCCCCGGGCCTTCCCCGTGTCGGAGGACCCAGACATCTTCCGTCGTGTTTTCCCAACCATCATGTGTGGAATTGGGCCCTCGTTTTGAATCAGCAGCCCCAGGCCGCCACCCTCCTTTCCTTCTCCTCCCCTCCTCCCCCCCTCTCCCTCTCCTCCCCAGCCTCACCATGTCGGCTCATCCCTCACACGCTTCGTGGCCCCATAGGTTGCTCCGCCTGTGGCCCCAATGGTTGCGGCCGCATACCGCCATTACCCCAATGTGGCGCAACTCTCACACGTTCCGTGGCCCCATAATGAGCTCCAGCTAAGGCCCCAGTGGTTTCGCCCGCATGCCGCCACCATACCCCTGTGGCGCACCCCTCACACGATTCATGCCCCCATAGTGAGCTCCACCTAAGGCCCCAATGGTTGTGCCCGCATGCCGCCACCACCCCACTTTGGCGCAACCCACACACGCTTCGTGGCTCCATGGGTAGCTCCGCCTAAGGCCCCAGTGGTTGTGCCCGCATGCCGCCACCACCCCACTTTGGCGCAACCCACACACGCTTCGTGGCTCCATGGGTAGCTCCGCCTAAGGCCCCAGTGGTTGTGCCCGCATGCCGCCACCACCCCACTTTGGCGCAACCCACACACGCTTCGTGGCTCCACAGGGAGCTCCGCCTAAGGCCCCAGTGGTTGTGCCCGCATGCCGCCACCACCCCACTTTGGCGCACCCCACACACGCTTCGTGGTCCCACAGGGAGCTCCACCTAAGGCCCCAGTGGCTGCGACCCCACACACGCTTCGTGGCTTCATAGGGATCTCCACCTAAGGCCCCAGTGGTTGCGCCCGCACGGCGAACCCTCATATGTCATACGTTTCTCCACCTAAGGCCCCAATGGTTGCGCCCGCATGCCGTCATCATCCCATTTGGCGCAACCCGCATGCCGTTTCGTGGCCTCATAGGAGCTACACTCTAGGCTCCCATAGTGGCGCCCGCATGCCGGCATCTCACGCGCTTCGTGGCCCCACAGGGAGCGCCACCTAAGGCCCCAGTGGCTGCGCCCACACGCCGTCCCCACCACACTTCGTCGCACCCCTCACGCGTCTGTGGCCCAGTAGGGAGCTTCATCTAAGGCCCCAGTGGCTGCGTTCGCATGCCTTCTCCAGCACAATTCAGCACATGACTCACACGTTTCGTAGGGAGCTCCAGCCGAGGCCCCAGAATCGCGCGAGTGACCGCGCGCCCATGTCGGCACACCCCTCTCACGTGGCCTCATAAAGGAACTCCGCCTGAGGCCCAATCAGCAGGAATCGCGCGAGTGACTGGTGCCCATTTTTGGTACACCCATAGCACGCTTCGTGGCCCCATAGGGAGCTCCGCCGAATGCCCCAGTGGCGAAATTGCGTGCGTGACCGCGCCTGTTTCGGCACACCCCTCGCACGTTTCGCGGACCACCAGGGAGCTCCACCGAACGCCCCCTCGGCAGGAATCGCAGGCGTGACCGCGCTCATGTTGGCACACCCCTTCGTGGCGCCATAGGAGCTCCATCCAAGGCCCCCCCGCCTGCTGCTCCCCGGTCCGCGCCCTGCTGCTCCCCAGGGCCAGGTCCTGATCCTCCTCCTCATCCTCCTCCTCCTCCTCCTCCTCATCCTCCTCCTCCTATTCCTCGTCCTCCTCGTCATCTTACTCCTCCTCTTCCTCCTCCTCCTATGACCCCATCAGCAACGTCGCTCCGTCCTTCTCACGCACGCCTCAATCCTTGTGCTGGCCCCCACCCTTCGTTTCCATCTCTCCTGCGGCACTCGCCGCTGCACATGGTTGGGTTCTTCGCCAGGCTACGCTCATTTCGTGAATCACCACAAACCTGACCCCCCCCCCCCCCAGGACTGGCTTCTCGTCCGGAGTCATTTTCGCAGTCCTGGGCCTGGTGGAGGACCCCAGAATCCGAAAATTAATAAAAGCGCTCCGTCATCTTCTGGTTGCCCACATCGAGAGGATGCCAGGAAAGGTGGGCACGACCATCGATCCTCGAACCTCGACCCTGGAGGAATCGAATCCGGCACAGGCATGGCTTCTCGCACGTCCCCGCGAACTTCCTGGATCGGCGCTGGACCGCCCTCCCTGCCGCGCGGAGCGCGCCAGGGGCGGCGCTGGAGGCGCCGCCACGGGGGCCCGGCGCCGACCTCGAGAAAGCCGCGCGGACTTCAGCGAAAGCATGCCTGTGCCCGCGTGTTGTGCTCCTCGAGCGTTTTCCGGGCCCTCCCGCCCTCGGCCATCGAGCACCCGCGGACATCCATCCTCGAGCCTCGCCCTCAGGACTCGACCCTGGGACCCCCCACTCCAAAGATAGCTCGGCCCCTGCACCCTCGGGCCCTGCAAAATCCTTGGCCCCTCGGCCCCCGAAGTGCGCGGCCCCCCAGAATACACACCACCACCACCACGTCGACTCCTCCTCCCGCCTCTGCGCTCCCTCTCCTTTGGGCGGGGGAGGGGGTGACGGAGGCGGTGCGGTGCCAAAAAGCTTTCGCCGCCCCGTGTGAAAAGGCCATCGGGCTCTCGACCCTCGGACCCTGGGCCCCTCGGGCCCTCGGAGCCCCACGCTCGGCGGCGAGCGGGGGGGGGGGAGTGAGAAGGAGCAGGCCTTCTCAGAAGGCGGCGGGACTTCTCAGAAGCCCTCGCGCCCTCTGAGTCTTTCGTTGTCTGCAGGAAAGGCTCAGACAACTTCTCAAAGGCCGGGGGACTTCCGAAAACTTTCTGGGCAGGCCTTCTCCTGCACACTCCCCCCCCTCGCTCAACGCCGACACAAGCCTTAGGACGGGCCTACAACATTTATTTTGTCGGGGATCTTCTGACCTGGGTCAATCCAGACCCGGGTCAGCAGGAAACCAAAAAACTGCAATGCAGGACAAAAAACTGCAACGCAGGTCTTCGCAAACCCGGGTCAGTCAATATGCGCGGCCGCCTCGCGGCCACGAGCGGCTCGCTAACCCGGGTCAGCCACAGGGGGGCTTCGCGAGATCCTGCAGGACCCGGTGCCCTGGCTGACCCCCGTTTGCACTGACCCCCGTCTCATGGGCCCCGATTTCGGACGAGCACTAACCACAGTCAAACCCTGCCCACACATGGTCAAAACTCGCCGAAGCATCGTTACCAGCCTACGGCAGGTTCGTGTCGTGCCGACCCCAGCGTTGGTTTTTGACACCGCAGGGATCGCTCAACCTTGAACGATCGGCCGCTGCCGCAACGTCCGATCGTTCAACATCCATCGATTCTGGGTCGCCGGCGGCGTTCAAGCTTGAACGCCCGCGCTGGGGTCGCCGCTGGTCGACACGACGCAAACCTACCGTAACGATCATCACCATCATAATCCTCATCACCACCATCATCACCATCATCACGATCATCGTCATCATCATGCTCGTGATCCGCATCAGCATCACCACAAGCACTATCACCATCATCATCGTCATCGGCATCATCATCATCATCGTCATCGGCGTCGACACGACGCAAACCTACCAAACTTTTTGACTGCTCTTGCGCGTTCCTCCGGTAGGGGAGGCGGGCCCCACCTCACGCGAGCCTCGACCCCGAGGGGCCTTCGACCCTCGACCACCAAGCCTCCTCCCTCCTCCCTCCTCCCTCCTCCTCCTCCTTCCTCCTCCTCCTCCACCTCCTCCTCCTCCTCCTCCTCCTTCCTCCTCCTCCTCCTCCTCCTTCCTCCTCCTCCTCCTCCTCCCTCCTCCTCCTCCTTCCTCCTCCTCCTCCTCCTCCTCCTCCTCCTGCTCCGCCTCCTCCTCCACCTCCTCCTCCTCTTCCTCCTCTTCCTCCTCCTCCTCCTCCTCCTCCTCCTCCTCCTCCTCCTCGGCTGGCCCTCGAGCCGCCCCTCCCCCCTCCTCGTCCGCGCCCGCGGGCACCCCGCGCGCCCCGGCCGCACCGACGCCCGGCGCGCCACGCTGCCCTCCCCCGCTATGGCGGGCGTTCTCGTGGATTCTCGGGGGGGCGAAGAGTGAAACAAACATAGAAACTCGGAGGTCCCAAGGGGAACGGAGCATGGCATAGAACAGAACAACTCGGAGGTCCGCGCACATATTTCTCGGATCGGCGCCTGACCCCCTTCCATGGCGCACGGGGCGCGCCAGGGGCGACGCTGGAGGCGCCGCCGGGTGCTCCAGTGCCGATCCGGAACATCCGCGCGGACATCCGAGCTTTTATGCTTAGTTATGTCGTTCTTCGTTCCCCTAGATTCGGCGATTCGACATTGAGCGAAAGGGGGGAGGGGAAGGGGGGTCTGGCTCCGGGCCTCTGCTGAGTGCGACTCTTTGCGGCGCTGTGTCTTGTAGGGGAGACTCCACCTGCGTGGCATGGGCGCCCAAAACAGCCGGGATGAATACCCCGCGGGGGACGGGGGGGACGAGGGCCCGCGCCCATCGGCAAAACAGCGCCATCGCCTAACGCCGCAGGTCACCTGGCTGCCCTGTCGTCTTCTCGCTTTTGAAGGAAGGCTGTGGGCAATCCCGACGGGCAGCGTTTGCCCGTTCTTGGCCTCCAGAGTTGTCGTCGCCAGGCCCCCGGACCGGAGGAGGAGGAGGAGGAGGAGGAGGAGGAGGAGGAGGAGGAGGAGGAGGAGGAGGAGGAGGAGGAGGAGGAGAGGGAGGAGGAGGAGGAGGAGGAGGAGAGGAGGAGGAGGAGGAGGAGTTGGAGGGGGGAGGGGAGGCGGAGGAGGAGGAGGGGAGGAGGGAGGAGGAGGAGGAGGCGGAGGGGGGGAGGGGGAGGAGGGGGAGGAGGGGGAGGGGGGAGGAGGGGGGAGGGGGGGGGGGAGGAGGGGGAGGAGGGGGAGGAGGGAGGGGGAGGGAGGGGCATCGAGCAGGGGAGGGCCGGCGGACGGGCGCCTTGGTGCCCTCCTGGAAGATGGCGCGGGCGAGCACGGTCGAGGTGGTGGTGCCGTCGCCAGCGATGTCGTTGGTCTTCGTGGCGACCTGCCGGTATCAATGGGAGCCCCATCCTGACTACCTACCATAGGGGGCAAACTAACCTACCTCGCTTTTGACCACCCTCGCTTCCAAGAGATACCAAGCGATGCCAAACTACGGCCTGTACTGGTCAGGCCGCTTGACGAGGAGGCGCGTGGTATGACTTGGTCTTGCCTGGAAGCGAAAGCGGGGTAGGTAATTCACGCTCTGATACCAGACCACCCCAACCCAACCCGAAGACCCGAGTTTCGGGTTGGGGGGGGGGTAAGGGTTCCACATGTGTTTTTGTCGGTGTTTCCCGACCCCCCCCACTGGAAATCAAGGGTCAATCTGAGCCTTCGGGTTGGGTTGGGATGGTTTGGTGGGTGGTGACATCCGGGACCATGAGAACACCGTCGAGACACAGTCTTAGCAAGACGAGATATCACGGCGGCGAGGCCTGGGACACGCCAGCCTGCCTCCCGCTCGGAGCAGGGTCAGCATGCGGAGACCGCCGTTGTGACCAACAGCAGGCTGAGGTCATTCGGCCGTCGGGCACAACTTCGCGGGCATGTCATTCGCGATACGCACGGAAATGCGATTTCCTGATGGGACGACCTCGCAGCGCCTGCCCGGCACCCCCGCACCACGAACGTATCGGAATCACCGGGCTACTCAAAGCGATGGTCTCGGATGATGACGAGAAACCATCCGGCATAAGCAGATCAGCTGGAGCGCAAGCCAATGTAGGCGTGAATGCGAGTCTGCGTGCGAAAACAAAATCGTAATCCCACGCGTGAAGCTGCAACCGTCAAGCTCACAGATGCCCCCAGGAGCGAATGGCCAGGATAAGCCTATCCCTTCCCTGTCCTCGGCACTGCCATCATTCTCAGCATTGCGTTCCCTTCCATCGTTCACCACGTATCTATTACAGGTACAAAGAGAGTGGTTGCATGAAAGTGGTGCAAGGGCGGAGCAGTCCAAACGCGGTTGCCTGCTTGATGAGCTGGGCGCCAACATTCACCTCAGGAAAGACAGTCGACATGAGAAGATCGGATGCCCCCCTCTCTACCAACGTCCATCACGTCTTCGCTGGCCAGGGAATGTCTGCGCTGGTCCGACTGGATACGGTTGACGGTTCCCCCCATCTGCGAACCGAAGTACGGTCAGGAATTGTTGTATCGCGTGTAGCGGCGGCGGCACGCTATGCCTTGGAAATTGACAGCGCGTCGCTCTGTTCCACAAGGCGGAAGGCTGGGAAAAGGCTCGGGACGTTGATTCTTGAGAATGGGGGCGTGGATAGCATGTCGCGCTGAAGCGTGGCGAACCAAAAGCACTGGACCGAAACGCAAATGAAACATCCCGCCGTATCACAAGCCACGTGTCCGTATTACGTACCGAGAAACTTCACCAAGGCAAGCGCCCTGGGAACGCAACCCTACCTGCCAGTCGGGAGAAATAGGTGGAAGCATGAAGTCGGGAAGGGTAAAAAAAACAGATTGGGTTCGGGCCCGCCCAAAAAAACAAACAATGGCAGCCACATGTCCACTCTTGAGATATCAGCGGGCGAAGAACTTGGTCACCAAGGGCGCTTGTGTCAGGGCGGCTGGAAAGCTGATATCCTGACGTGCCACCGTAGGGATCGGAATTATCCAACCGCCCGGGGGGGCAAGCGTCACGGACGGCAAACAATCTATGTCATACCGTTTTGCCGCCCGATACAAATAGGAAGGCGATTGAAGTAGACTGGGATTAGGGCGTGCCAAAAAACCGCCGCTGTCCGAGCACGTCCCGCTCCCAAGCCGTGCATTTGCTGCTGGGCGGCTTGCCGACAACACACGTCGGTCGGAAAAAATGGGTAAACACATAAAGTCGGAATTCGGCTAACGTAGATTGGGTTCAGGCCCTCCCGGTGAATCATGAAGCACAAGAAAAAAACGTCGATTTTGAAGTAGGAAGGCGCTTGGACTGGATTGGGAGCTGGAGATCCAAAAATGCGTACTCCCAACGAGCGACGGGCATGCGGCCTGGGCCACCCAGCGTCGCGCCCTCGCGCCGCTATGGAGAATGGTAGCCGCTCTGGCGACGCGCGAGGAACGATGCCGTGGAGGCCAATCCACGAGAAACCTTCCACGAAAAATTCAACCCTGAGGCCACAGGACGTCCATGGAATTTGGGCGCGGGGGAGTCTCGCCTTCCATGGCAATTTAGCCCGGCGAAAGACCCAACCATATGCAGTTGAGAGCGCCGCCTTTGTAAGTCTCGCCTTCGGCGGAGCTCCCATGGCGCCGAGATCCGCGCGAGGGGCGCGCCGACGCGAGGCGGGGCGCGCGACGCGGAAAAAGACGACAGGTCTGATGACGAGAGCGGGATCGTCCGAGCACGAGTGCGTCTGATTGTGCGCGAGTCTGCGCGCGAGTGAGTCTACACGCATGAATGTCGACGCCCATGTCGGCACGCCCCCCGCGTGGATCGCCCCCGCTTCCCCCCCTCTCGTTCCCCCTCTCTGCCCCCGCGCTCCAATGTCCCAGGTTGCGGGCGCAGCGCGGCGCGGGGCCCACGCGACGCGCGCTGGCGGCCCCGAAAGGGCCCCAGCAGCGCGCGCGAGTCGTCCGCCGCGCGGAGCAGAGCGAACTAGCTGGATGGCTAAGAGCGGGCAAGGCTCAGGCCGCTGGGCAGAACGACGACGGGCGAACGAGGCGCAGGGCAGCGCGCTGCGCGGAGCCCCCGCTACGCGCGCTGGTCGCCCCGAGCGGGCCCCAGCGACGCGCGCGGGTCGTCCGCGGCGCCAGGCCGAACTGTTGGACAGCCTGGATGCGGCGCGGCTCGGGCGGGCCGCTCCCCGGGTCAGACCGCGCGGACTAACTCTGTGAGGCCCAGCTCTCTGCGAGGGCTGCTGGCCCCCTCCTGCGCCGCTTCGTGCGCGGCGCAAACTGCTCCAGCTGCTTCCGCAAGCCCTCCAGCGGCCCTGCCATTAAGAACTCGACGCGCGGCGCCCGCGCGAGCAAGAGGTCCTCGTGGCGCGCGGCGCGCGAGAGCAGCGCGTTGGAGCTCCAGCCACCAGTCGCCGTCGCCCTTCTTGCCGTTTCCGATCCGTTGCGGCCTCAGTCCAGGATCGCGCCTGGGCGACGTCGGCCGAGGGGGCAGCGCGCGGGACAGCCGACGGCCCAAGGCGAGTCCACAGAATCGAAAAAAGGTCTGGCCGTGGACCGCCCGGGGGGCGCTGCCCCCCCGCCCCGTCGCCATCTCGCGCGGCGCGCCCCCGGCGCGCCGCCGCGGCGATGGCCCTGTCGCGCGAGAACGGGAAGCCCGCCCAGGTGACCTCGGGGGTGCGGAGTGTGAACGGCTCCGACGCGCGGGGCTCGATGGACGCCACCAGGCCCGTCAGGTCCCCCGCGAGGGTGTCCTCGTGGCGCTTCGGGTCGTCCACGAGGGGCGCGCTCGCGCACTTCTCCATGCAGAACCCAGAACCCCAGCGGCAAGTGCTTCGGATAGATATTATTCTCCCCGTCTCTCTCTCAGCCCTTTCGACGTCGCCCCGATCCCGAGGGTCCACCACGATGTGCGCGATCTTCCCCCTGGCATCCTTGACGAGGCTGCTTTTGAGGTCCATCGCCTCCAGGAGCCGGATCCGCATGCCCACGTGCACCGGGAGCAATCCGTGCATGCCACCGGTGCTCTTCGGGCTGGCACACTTCATCATCCTAGCGGCGTCCTTGACGTTCATCGTCGGGGTAGATCTGTCGGCGGCCTGCACGAAAAAGAGGGGTTTCTTCAGGACGTCCGCCTCCCGCTGGGCACGCATGTTCATCCACCTCGCCAAGGTGTCCCAGTAGGACCCAATCATGTGGCCGTTTTGGAACATTTCCTCCTGGAGCCGGCGATCATCGGGTTTCAGCTGCATGGCGTTCCACGCGGCCTGGATGGCCCGAGAGACCTGCTTTCCGGGTCTGCGCAAAAACGCTTCTCCTCGTCCCCCTCCCTCCTCTTCTTCTCATCATCATCATCATCGTCCCCCTCATCATCATCGTCGTCGTAATCATAATCAGCATCATCATCACCACCATCATGTTCAACATCTTCATCATCGTAATCGTCATCGTCGTGTCGTAGTCGTCATCGTCATCATCATTATCATCATCCGTAGCAGTATCATCATCATCAACATCATCATCAGCATCATCATCATCATGATCATCATCGTCATTGTCATCGTGATTGTCATCTTCGTACCAGAAGAAGGCGGAGGCTACCTTCTCCTCCTCCTCGCCATCATCAGAATCGTCCTCCTCGTCCTCCTCCTCCTCCTCCCTTTTTTCCCCTCCTCCGACCTCCTCGTCCTCCTCCTCCTCCTTCTCCTCCTCCTTCTTCTCCTCCTCCTCCGTTCCTCCTCAGCCTACTCCTCCCGTTCTCCTCCGAATTCTGACGGCCTCGATAACTAACTTTCGGGCAATAACGCCAGTAGCTCAGGCTTCTGGCGAGAACTTCGGACGATGCGTCAAGCGCCGCTGGAACGCTGTCACTGAGGCGCAGCAGCTGGGTTACACATCGCAGCCACGCGTAGAACTAACCCCACCTTCAGAAAGTCGCTACTGAGGCCTTCGGTGGAGCTGTCCATATCGTCGGTCGTCGTCGCCGTCGTCGTCGTCGTCGTCGGCGTCGTCGTCGTCGTCGTCGTCGTCGTCGTCGTCGTCCTCGTCCTCGTCCTCGTCCTCGTCCTCGTGCTCCTCCTTCTCCTCCTCCTCCTCCTCCTCACAAACGCGGGCGGCGCCACTGGATCCTTCGGTGGAACCGGCCGCGGGGTGTGCCGAAATGGGTGTGCGTGACGCATGCGGGCTGCGCCACTGTTGCCTTCGGTGGAGCTCCCTGTGGGGCCACGAAAACGTGCGAGGGGTGTGCCGCAATGGGTGTGCGTGCCGCATGCGGGCTGCGCCACTGTTGCCTTCGGTGGAGCTCCGTACGGGGCCACGAAACGTGTGATGGGGTGTGCCACAATGGTTGTGGGGGACGCATGCGGGCTGCGCCACTGGGGCGGTCGGTGGAGCTCCGTACGGGGCCACGAAACGTGTGATGGGGTGTGCCGCAATGGGTGTGCGTGACGCATGCGGGCTGCCCCACTGGGACCTTCGGCGGAGCTCCCTATTGGTCCACGCAACGTGTGAGGGGTGTTCCGCAATGGGTGTGCGTGACGCATGCGGGCTGCGCCACTGGGGCGGTCGGTGGAGCTTCGTGCGGGGCCACGAAACGTGTGAGGGGTGTGCCGCAATGGGTGTGCGTGACGCATGCGGGCTGCGCCACTGGGGCGGTCGGTGGAGCTCCCTATAGGGCCACGAAACGTGTGATGGGGTGTGCCGCAATGGGTGTGCGTGACGCATGCAGGCTGCCCCACTGGGACCTTCGGTGGAGCCCCCTGCGGGGCCACGAACCGTGTGAGGGGTGTGCCGCAATGGGTGTGCGTGACGCATGCGGGCTCCCCCACTGGGACCTTCGGTTGAGCTCCCTATGGGGCCACGAAACGTTTGAGGGGTGTGCCGAAGTGGGTGTGCGTGACCATGCGGGCTGCGCCACTGGGGCGGTCGGTGGAGCTCCCCACGGGGCCACGACATCGTGAGGGGTGCACCGACGATGATGATGACGAGGAGGTTGATGATGATGCTGACGGTAGTGATGATGGCGGCGATAACAACGATGATGACTACGATTATGGTGATGATGACGATGACGATGACGATGATGATGATGATGCTGATGATGATGATGATGATGATGATGATGATGATGATGATGATGATGATCATGGTGATTACGAACTCAATGATGTTGATGATGATGATGATGAGGATGATGAGAAGAGGTGGGAGGAGGAGAGGAGGGGAGTGACGCGGGGCGCTCTCCAAAACGAGAACCCAACACCACAGGATGGTTGGGAAAAAACATCGAAGCCCAAGAAGCCCAGGGCACCCTGGAGGCAAGCGGGGTGTTTCTTGGCATGAGTCTCCACTGCACCTTCTGGACGGCGACGTT